GCACAGAGTCAGGCCAGGTAAGACAGACTGTTTGGTGGATGGTCAAGGGCTGTAACATTTCCTTCTATCTAAGTGGATGTTAAAGGTCTGGAGACAAGGAGTTGGCATGCGTGCAACTGGCAAGCCATTCGTGTTCAAGTAGTGTGCGTGGATTTGTTAAATACAGTGAGAGACATTGTTTTTGGTGTAGCTGTTGTGGTCTGTGAGACCACTGTTTTTAGAAGTGATTTCAAAATGGCCGTCTTTTTGGAGGGAGAAATCTGCTCTGTGATGATGACGGAGATGACGAAGCTGGAATCTTATGGTCATTTTACATGAAGTTCAACATTAGCTGCATCTCACGATGTGATAGGAGGCTTAGTGGACAAGTGTTTAGGTTAAATAGAAGTCAACATTTTCCCTGGAGAACCTCTACTTATCCCTACTGGACTCTCTCTCTGGCAGTGTCTGAACTCCCACTTTGTTCCTGGCTGGTCCACCTATTTCCTCCATGTTAGTGTAGAACATTGCTACTGCCCATCTTCCCTGTCTCTCTGTCTTGACATGTAATTGGCAGCTTTGTTTGCTTTGCGTTGCTTGTCACGGCTAGAGCTGGATGTTAACAGCATCTTGGAATGCCCCCTGTCCGTTGCTATATTTACACAAACACACACCGCTCGTCTCCCAGGAGTCTGTTGAGTGCATATGCTCTGTCTCTGAGCAAAGGGCCTTGTTTGATCTACCCCACAGACCAAAATAGCACACAACCCTTTTTATGGACATGATTTAACGTTGGAGACAATAGCATGTATTTATACTCACACATAGTGTTAATGTATGTCACTTAATTTGTACATGGTGAAAGATTCCCACCGATGACATGTTGTTAACACACTCACACGTGCGTACACACACACACACACACACACACTGAATGGTTGGCGACATTAATATTTAGTACATTTCTACACTTTAGCTCGACAAACATTTCCTTCCTTATTATCTCTATTAATTCTTTATAATAGATGGCAAGGAACCCTGCTTAGGTTACCTGAGTGGCAATGTTTAGGTTTTTTGCATGTTGGAAAGGGAAGTGGGATACCTACTCAGTTGCACAACTGAATGCATTCAACCGAAATGTCTTCCACATTTAACCCAACCCCTCTGAATCAGAGAGGCTGCCTTAATCGACGTCCACGTCATCGGCGCCCGGGGAGCAGGTGTTGTTAGGGGGGTTAACTGCCTTGCTCAAGGGCAGAATGGCAGATTTATTTCACCTTGCCGGCTCGGGGATTCGAACCGTCAACCTTTTGGTTATTGGCCCAAGGTTCTTAACTGCTAGGCTACCTAGCGTCTGTATAGATTAATTGTGTAGATGTCTTATTGCTGAATAGGTTTGGCCAGTTCTACCCAGTTTCTCAGCACTCAGAATATTAGAGTTTTTATGCACACCTCTCTCTCTCTGTTTCTCTCTCTGTCTGTTTTTCTCTCTGTCGGTCTCTGTCGGTCTTTGTCTGCCTCCTAATCCCTTGGTCTGTTCAGATTTCACAGGAGTGCTCATTGCCATTGGGATGTCAGTGTTGCTCACACCCCTCTATCCAGTGTCCTCTCCTGTTACCGTCTCCTCTCCCCGTCTCCCCACTCCTTTCCCCGTCTACCCTGTCCCCTCCCATCTCCTCTCCCCATCTCCCCACTCCTTTCCCTGTCTACCCTGTCCCCTCCCATCTCCTCTCCCCCTCTCCTTTCCCTGTCTACCCTGTCCCCTCCCATCTCCTCTTCCCATCTCCCCTCTCCTTTCCCCGTCTACCCTGTCCCCTCCCATCTCCTCTCCCCTGTCCCCTCCCATCTCCTCTCCCCGTCTCCCCCTCTCCTTTCCCCGTCTACCCTGTCCCCTCCCATCTCCTCTCCCCTGTCCCCTCCCATCTCCTCTACCCTGTCCCTCCATCTCCTCTACCTCTTCTCCCTCCTCTCCTCTCCTTCCCGTTCTACCCTGTCCCCTCCCATCTCCCTCCCTTCCTCTGTCCCCTCCCTCCCATCTCCTCTACCCTGTCCCATCTCCTCTCCTCTCCCCTCTCCTTTCCCCGTCTACCCTGTCCCCTCCCTGTCTACCCTGTCCCCTCCCATCTCCTCTCCCCTCTCACCCTCTCCTTTCCCTCCCCGTCCTCTGTCCCCTCATTCCTCTCCCGTCTCCCTCCCTCCCATCTCTCTCTCCCCGTCTCCCCTCTCCTTTCCCTCGTCTCCCTGTCCCCCCATCTCCTCTCTCCTCTCCCTCTCCTTTCTCCCTGCCCCTCCATCTCTTCCCCTCTTCTGAATGTGTAGCTGCGTGTGGGAGAGAACATGTCAAGTTGGATGTTTCAATTACATGGCTATTTAGCTGACTTCTCACTGTATAACCCCTCCCCCACCACCATAGAGGTGTTGGTGAATTACCACAGGTTTCTGATTAGGGTGGATGTTGTGGATAGTCCTGACAGGTTGTGTGTGTGTGGTGGGGGATGTAATACGCCACAATCCCCCTCCCTTCTCTCTCATTCACCCTCCCTCCTTCTCTCCTGTCTCCCTTCGGCTCTCCTCTCTCGCTATTTTGTCTGCCCCCTTTCCTCCTCTTCTGCTGTGTGTCTGTGATGGTGAATGTGTTGAATGGTAATGCTGCCAGCCAGGTACATGCACCTCTCTCTGCTATTAGATGAACGTCCTGATGATTCTCTAATCCTATCAGGAGATTTAGGTCTTAGGCAGGCACAGGGAAACACCAGGCAGGCAAGGGCCCAAACTTCCCCATCCAGAATTGCCAAACTCTCTATCTAAAGGTTTCGGAGGTCTGGTGAGCCAGCCCTGGTTGGTACGGGCCAACCAATGGAAAACCCTTAATTGAGTGTTTCTCTAGAGCACTTCATCAAAATGAGATTGATTTAAAATGGGTTTCTCATTCTCTATTTGTAATCATTCTATTCATGGAAGGCCCCCTCTCTCTGTCTATGTTTTGAAGTATCCATTGTTTCATACTCTCACCATGGAGTGGCAAAGGACCTCTTCAATGCCCCTTAGTGTTAATGAGGGCTCTCTTATAAATGATATATACAGACACTCACTCTCTCTTTCTTTCTCACTCTCTCCTTTCTTTCCTTTCTCTCTCTATCTCTCTCTTTCTCTGTGTGTGTTCAACACATAGTTGAGAGCTACATCAATTCCCTTGCCTCTCCTCCTCTACCCCTTTCCCCACTCATTACTGTGGCAGGTTTGGGTTTGTAGGTCAGGTAATAACCCTGGTGTATTCTCTGTGGACACACAGCTTCTCCTGGTTCAGTGGGGAGGTAGAGACTAGAGGATCCCAGTGCTCTGGCTATGGGCTGTGGTGGTAGAGCCAAGGTGCTGATGCTCAACACTGCACCTGGAAACTACACAATGGGGTCAGCTGACTCCTATATCAAAAGCACAGCATGGAACTTTTGGAATAGCACTGAAATATGCTTGTGTTGAATGGTGCAATTCAAGCCAGCCATGTGACCTAAACATTCAATCGGATGTGGATGTTGGTTTTCCACCTAAATGCAAATGTCCAGTTACATAACAACCACCAGTGTCTTGACCCTGTGACCTCTTCATCCCAAAGGTCATACAGCAGCTCTACACTGATTTACAGCCCTCCCATTGGTCCATTATAAGGATTATTCTCTGGAGGCCAGACTGACTGGACTAATGGGTATTTACGACCGTTAGTTTGTGTTATCGGTTATTGAGGTCAGGATTGTATCAGGAATGTTATCCGTTAGGTGGGTCAGTTTTACTGTTTCAGATAAGAACCTGGACATTTGACTGTGTGTCGTCAACCCTTTCCTTGGACTGCTTGAATTGGCAGAAAGTAATGATATGAGATGATTTATTACAAAAAGGATGGATGCCCAGCTTGGAATTCAGTATGTAGGAACGGAGGAGCGACTGAGTTGTAGTTTCTCTATGCCTCACTTGGTTCTCTCTGACTTCATTCAAATCTGACCTCCTTTGAAGGAACACAATGTAATATCCATGGTGGGTTGTCTGTAAGTGGTTGGGATAGGGACATCAAATACAATTCTAATGTATTGAACCCGCAACAGCAACATTTAACTAAATGTAGTTTGTCTCTGGACACTGCAGTAGGAGCTGGCCTGATTACAGTGGGATATTATCTGTGGCTGCTGCATCTTTCCGACTGGGATAGAGTGTCACTGTAAAGCTTGGCCTTCTATTGTCCAGCCTCCCTCTGCCCGTCCTGTGCTGTTTTAACTCCTAGGGCCATGGGACAAAGAGACCCCCCCCCCCCCCCCACATACACACACACACTGTGCAATCCCCTATCTCAGATGGATGGTAAATGCATCCTGTATGAATTCCCTTTTTCTCCCCTCAGTGCTATTTTTAGCTGCCTGCTGATTTAAATTGGAGTCCTCTGCTGAGGAAATCAAATCAGGCTCCATCTGTTGTCGTTGGGGAAAGAGGGAAAGGGCAACTAGATAGACAGTCTCTGGTCTGTCTGTCCAGTCTCCCTGTTGGTCTCTATTGGGCAGCCCTCCCTGGCAGCTCAGTTAGCAGGCTACACTGTGGGCCTGTGTTAGTACAGTGTTATAAAGGCTCTTATCTGTGTTGTTTTAGGATCTCTCACCAGCCACAAATGACCTTTATTATCTGTGGATGCCAGCAAACACCGACATCAGCGCCTCGCCTCGCGTACCCCAGTTGGCAGTCGCTCCATTCTCTGTTTTCTTTTTCCATTTCCCATCTTTCTTTCTCTCTCTCGTTCTCTAACTCTCTCTTTGTTTGCCCTTCCTCCCTGGTTGACTTTTGAACGGTAATGAGCACAGCTTTAAGCGGTCTATAGAAATGAGCCTAGAGTAGAAAAATCCGGTCTGACTTGCCATATTTATAACTTCCTGTCTCCAACTAATACATTTGACTCTAGTAGTAACATGCTCATATGCTACAGTATTTAACACTGACTCCTCTCTTTTTCTCCCGTCCTCCTTCCCCCTCCCCCCTCCCAGGATGACAACTGGGGCGAGACCACCACGGCCGTCACGGGGACGTCGGAACACAGCCTGTCCCAGGAGGACATTGTCCGGATCACCAAGGACATGGAGGACAGCGTGGGCCTGGACTGCCGGCGCTACTTGACCCTGACCCTGGCTGTGGTTCTGGGCCTGCTGGTCTTCCTCACGCCCCTGGCCTTCCTGGCTCTCCCCCACCTCCTCTGGCCTGAGAAGCTCCAGGTGTGCGGCACGGCCTGCGAGGGCCTCTTTATTTCCGTGGCGTTTAAGTTGCTAATACTGCTGTTGGCCGTGTGGGCGCTGTTCTTCCGGGCTCCGCGCGCCGGCCTGCCCCGGGTGTTTGTGTTCAGAGCGCTGCTGGCTGTGCTGGTGCTGCTGTTCGTCGTGTCCTACTGGCTGTTCTACGGCGTGAGGATACTGGACTCACAGGTACAGCTGGGAGAGGGAAGGGAAACTCACGCTCACAATGTTTGTAATGTGTCTAATTACTGGCCACCACAACTGCCTCTTCGAGTATTCCGTTTGAATGGCATTGCTTTCATCTCTGTGTAAATATCTTGTCATGAATGTGTGTGTACCACAGGAGGTTGGTGGCACCTTATTTGGGAGGATGGGCTCGTGTTAATGGCTGTAGCGGATTGGTATTAAATACATGAAACGCATGGTTTCTATATGTTTGATACCATTCCATTCGCTCCATTCCAGCCGTTATTATGAGCCGTCCTCCCCTCAGCAGCCACTGGTGTGTACCTATGTTTTGTATTGACACTAGCACATGCTGGGTTGTCTATTGTACCCAGGATGAGAACTACCAGGGCATCGTGCAGTACGCTGTATCTCTAGTAGACGCTCTGCTCTTCATCCACTACCTGGCCATCGTTCTGCTGGAGCTCAGGCAGCTGCAGCCCGCCTTCTCTGTCTGCGTCACGCGCTCCACCGACGGAGAGACACGCCACTACAACCTGGGCCAGCTCAGGTGAGACGTGGCGGGAGACTGGGAGAGAGGGACGGAGAGAGATGGGGCAGGGGAAGGGAGACTGATGAGGGGGAGGGGGAACGGAGAGGGGGAGGATGCGAGAGGAGAAAAGTCCTTGAAAGTAAGACGGGACAACTCTTTAGAGTGGGTAGAGCAGGCTGAGGAGAAAGAAAGGGAGAGGAAGAGAGAGCAAAGAAAAGCCAGCAAGTAAGAGGAGAGGGAGGGTAAGAATCCTGTGTGTATGTGTGTGTGTGTGTGTGTGTGTGTGAGAGAGAGAGAATGAGAGTGTGAGTGTGAGTAATAAAGTAATGAGCCAGAGAGAACAGCTCAGACTAGAAGAACCTGGTCTGTAATGACTTGTCCTTTGATGTGCCGTCTGACTGTACCAGGAAGATGTTTTATCTCATGACGCGTTGATGAGTGATGTATTGAGACTGTCAAAAGGCATCCTAATTATAAACATGGTCATTTCAGTCCATGGCGCTCTCTCTCTCTCTCTCTCTCTCTCTCTCTCTCTCTCTCTCATATATATATATCCCCTTTTGTGAGAGGGCCTCAAACATATGATGGTATAATGCTGGGGCACTCTGGTTCACCTTTCTCTACCTCAGTACAGTGGCAGATGATGGACATGTAAATTGCTTTAGCCTCTGCTTCACCAGTGTTGTTAGAGGCTGCCCTTGGGGTGTTGTCGCTCATAAAGCGTCCGCTATTTTCCTCAGCTGGCCGACGCAGCAGCACTCTCTCTGTTGTCTGTATGCGCTTGTAAACAAACAGCTAATTAGTGCTCCCTACAGGCCACACTGAGCATCTGGTCAGAGAAGATGCATACCATACACACTCATAATACACACACACACACTTTTGTACACACACAGATTCCCAGTTTTCCGGCCATTTCCCCAGGCCTGTCCTCCTCCGTTCCCAGGCGACTGGTGATGACATTCCTCTGTGTGTCTGGCAGGCAGGCTGTCTGGCAAGTGTCTGATGGGGTATCAGAATAATGAACCTACCTAGGAGGCCAGGAGGCCTGTTCTTGTGTCTGGATCTGACATGAGGAAAGTGCTCAAGCTCCTAACACCAAAACTACCAGAGATTCACCTCGGCAAGAATCCTGCTATTCTCCTTATTCATTCTGTCCCCTATCTCCAGTGTGTAGCCTACCATAACAAGTAGCTACTTATGGAAGAGAAGAGCCACAGGGAACTTAGGCACAGACAGGCTCATATCTAGGCCAGTTTGGGCTTTATTTGTCTCCTCCCTCTACTGTAGTTTAATAATTGATCAAAGTAGCGAGCACCGGAGACCCTGACTCTGCACAAAGTGCTGCCTTAGTCACAATGGGTGTATGTATTATAGTTAAAACTTTAGGAAGTTGGTTTAGTAGTTTGTCCTTGTTTTGGGCTAATGCGCAATTGTGTGTGTCTGACGAAACGTCTTCATACAGTATGTATCAATGAATGTGGCATACAAAGAGTGGTTTGGGTTTGCCTGTGTGCCATCCCAGGAATATTATACCTTTAAGTGTATTTAAAACAAAGTTGTTTTACAGTTTGCCTTTGTTTTGAAGATCTGTCTGTCAGTATTCCACGACAGCGGTGTTTGTCTGTCTGTCAGTATTCCACGACAGTGTCTCTGTCTGTGTACCATACCAGCAATATATAAGCCATTGTTTATACAGCCATGTATTTGACATTGTAGTTGTGGGTTAGTGAACCCACCTGCCTCCTCCACATGTACACATCCACTAACACTCTTCATCCTGCCTCGGCCATTTTCTCTGTATCTGTCACTATGGGATATCCACCACCACTATGGGATGAATCCCAGGCTTAAATCCCTCTATAGTGGACAGATAGCTGCTGCTAACCTATACAATACCCCCTGCAGTGTAAAGCTGGTTTATAATATATATACAGTGCCTTCAGAAAGTGTTCACACGCCTTGACTTTTCCATATTTTTTTTGTTACAAATTGGGATAAAAATGAATTTAATTTCTTGTTTTTCCCCAACAATCTACACAAAATATGTGTCTTGGTAAGCAACGCCTGTGTAAATTTGCCTTGAGTTTTAGGTTATTGTCCTACTGAAAGCTGAATTTGTCTCCCAGTGTCTGTTGGAAAGCAGACTGAACCAGGTTTCTTTTTATCCTGAAAAAAACTCCCTAGTCCTTTGCCGATGACGAGCATATCCATAACATGATGCAGCTATCACCATGCTTAAAAATGTGAAGAGTGGTACTCAGTGAGTGATGTTTTCTGTTGGATTTGCCCCAAACATAACACTTTGTATTCAGGAGCAAAAGTTCATATCTTTGCCACATTTTTTGCAGTATTACTTTAGTGCCTTATTTCAAACATGATCCATGTTTTGGAATATTTTTTATTCTGTACAGGCTTCCTTCTTTTCACTCTGTCATTTAGATTAGTGTTGTTGAGTAACTAAAATGTTGTTGATCCATCCTCAGTTTTCTCCTATCACAGCCATTAAACTCAGTAACATTTTTAAAGTCACCATTGGCCTCATGGTGAAATCCCTGAGCGGTTTCCTTCCTCTACGGCAACTGATTTAGAAAGGACGCCTGTATCTTTGTAGTGACTGTGTGTATTGGTACGCCATCCAAAGTGTAATTAATAACTTCACCATGCTTTATTTTTACCCATCTTCTTTGCGAGGCATTGGAAAACCTCCCTGGTCTTTGTGGTTGAGTCTGCGCTTGAAATTCACTACTCGACTGGGGGACCTTAAAGATAATTGTATGTGTGGTACAGATATGGGGTAATCATTCAAAAATCATGTTAACCACTATTATTGCACACAGAGTGAGTCCATGCAACTTATGTGACTTGTTAAGCACATTTTTACTCCTGAACATATTTAGGCTTGCCATAACAAAGGGGTTGAATACTTATTGACTCAAGACATTTCAGTTTTCATTTTTATAATTCTAATTCTAAATACAATATTCCACTTTGACATTGTGGGGGTGTTGTGTATAGATCAGTGGCACAACATTTACATTTACATCTATTTTAAATTCAGTCTGTAACACAACAAAATGTGGAAAAAGTCAAGGGTTGTGAATACTTCATGAAGGCACTGTGTATATATACTGCACTGCATTGGGATGAGGGAGAGGATATACAGTGCTTACTGTGGAATGCAGTGTTTGGTTTTCGCCAGGCATAATGGGACCCATCTCGTCCAAAAAGTTGACTCAACTTTGCCAAAAAGCACCTGGATGATCATCAAGACTCTTGGAAGAACGTTCTATGGACAGATGATTCAAAAGCATAACTTGGTTCCAGTAATGCCTGGCGAAAACCAAACTTTGCTGCCTCAGGACCTGGACGACTTGCCTTAATAGAAGGAACCATGATCTGCTCTGTATCAGAGAATTCTACAGGAGAATGTCAGACCATCCGCTGTGAGCTGAAGCTGAAGCGCATGGTCAATCAGCAAGACAATGATCCAAAACCACAATCAAGTTCTACATGAAAATGCTAAAAAGCAACAAATTGGAAGTTTTGGAATGGCCTAGTCAAAGTCCAGACCTAATCCCAATTGAGATGTTGTGGCAGGACTTGAAACGAGCAGTTCATGCTTGAAAACCCACACGTCACTGAGTTAAAGCAGTTCTGCATGGAAGAGTGGGCCAAAATTCCTCCACAGCGACGTGAGAGACTGATCAACAACTCCAGGAAGCATTTGAGTGTAAGGGGGCAATTACTTTTTCACACAGGGGAATTGGGTGTTGCATAACTTTGTTTATGAAATAAATATGTAATTGTTGTGTTATTTGTTCACTTATGTTCCCTTTATCTAATATTAGGTGTTGGTTGAAGATCTGATAACATTCAGTATCACAAATATGCAAAAGTAGAGAAAATTAGAAAGGGGGCAAATACTTTTTCATAGCACTGTATCCATAATGTCCTATCACTTAGCCTGACATTTCCCCTTCGTCAGCACTGGGTATGTAAAGTTGCATACAGTGCCTTGCAAAAGTATTCATCCCCCTTGGCGTTTTTCCTATTTTGTTGCATTACAACCTTTATTTTTAAATTGATTTTTATTTGGATTTCATATAATGGACATACACAAAATAGTCCAAATTGGGGAAGTGAAATGAAAAAAAATTACTTGTTTCAAAAAATTCTAAAATAATTAATAATGTAAAAGTGGTGCGTGCATATGTATTCACCCCATTTAATATGAAGCCCCTAAATAAGATCTGGTGCAACCAGTTACCTTCAGAAGTCACATAATTAGTTAAATAAAGTCCACCTGTGTGCAATCTAAGTGTCACATGATCTGTCACATGATCTCAGTATATATACACCTGTTCTGAAAGGCCCCAGTCTGCAACCCCACTAAGCAAGGGGCACCACCAAGCAAGCGGCACCATGAAGACCAAGGAGCTCTCCAAACAGGTCAGGGACAAAGTTGTGAAGAAGTACAGATCAGGGTTGGGTTATAAAAAAATATCAGAAACTTTGAACATCCCACGGAGCACCTTTTTAAATCCATTATAAAAAATGGAAAGAATATGGCACCACAACAAACCTGCCAAGAGAGGGCTGCCCACCAAAACTCATGGACCAGGCAAGGAGGGCATTATTCAGAGAGGCAACAAAAGAGACCAAAGATAACCCTGAAGGAGCTGCAAAGCTCCACAGCGAAGATTGGAGTATCTGTCCATAGGACCACTTTAAGCCGTACACTCCACAGAGCTGGGCTTTATGGAAGAGTGGCCAGAAAAAAGCCATTGCTTAAAGAAAAAAATAAGCAAACACGTTTGGTGTTCGCCAAAAGCCATGTGGGAGACTCCCCAAACATATGGAAGAAGGTACTCTGGTCTGGTCAGATGGCCATCAAGGAAAACGCTATCTCTGGCGCAAACCCAATACCTCTCATCACCCCGAGAACACCATCCCCACAGTGAAGCATGGTGGTGGCAGCATCATGCTGTGGGGATGTTTTCATCGGCAGGGACT